ACTATGTTCTCGGGCAAATTGTCGACCCTCAAATCAAACTGTCTACCTGCGGCCGTGTTGTGTTTGGTTATTGGGTCCGACAAAACACATATTGCACTCGAACTCGGTCAAAAAATGTTTAAAATTATAAGGGACGCCAAAAAGGATATATATGTGTGTAAATAGCCCAAGTGTTTATGTGATGAGTGATAAAGTCTCTGTATCAAGCTGAAGAGAGGCCATAAAAAATGAAAAATCAATTTAAAAAAAATACATAATATTAAAAATCCCGAAGAAAGAGATGGTTGCTTCACCATAAAGTCGAAAACAGGTTCTAGGGTTGCGCCGTAAAAGAAAAAAAAACAAGATGAATTTGTGAAACACTATGCGCCCGGCTGCAACAAAATTGAAAAAAAGCTATTTCTAGCATAAAGGTAGCAGTCAAAGTCACAAGGTAATTGACCTTGAGTCATTTTAAAGAACTGAATTAGTGGCGATTGCCCCCCCCCCCCCCTAATATGAAGTCTCTATCTCTCATGGTATAAAATTTATATATGGTGAAGGTTCAAAAAAGATATTTTTAGTATATGTAATAATCAAGGTCATTCATCTTAGCGTTATTTGAAAGAGGTTCATTAGTTCGAGTATGCATACCAAAGTCTCTATCTTTCAAGGTTCAAAAGTTATGGCGAAGTTAAAAGTTTGCAGACAAAAAGCTTTTTAAGCATAAAGGTCACAAGGTCATTGAACTTGGTGTCATTTGAAAGAAATTAATTAGTAGAGTATGCATAATAAAAATGAAGTCTCCATCTTTCTTGGTTCAAAAGTTATGGCGAAGGTTAAAGTTTGCAGACAAACAAACAAACTAACAAGTAGACAGACAGGACAAAAACAATTTTACGCCCCGGATCTATCAATCGGCCGGGTGCATATTTATGTCAAACGAACTAATGCTACTGAAAAAACGTTTGTTTTGAGTATACAGTGGGATATGTCATTTTTAAAACGTGCATAAAATCGAATTTCCGTGACATTCTAGTGTATATGAAGCAGAAAGGTTTACAAAAAAGAACCTAAAAATTATCACTGCACACTGAAAAAAAATGTAACGAGTATAGTTCAAATTTCTTCGACAATACATTGACCCAAGCGCCTATGGTTGTCTCTTGTCCTTAAACTTTTCACGTTTTCAAATTCTTTTCAAGAACCATATGGAAAATTTTAACCACAAGGTAGAAATCATTCTTGTATGAAGGGGAGATAAACTGTTAAGATGATTCCAAGCCCACTTACAATATTAATGAGGGAAAATCAAGAAAACTCTAAAATAGGGTGGGGTCATTGAAAAATCTACACATGATAAAGACCCACTGGGTCAGAAAAGCTGAAACCTATGAAGAAGCACCATGGGGTAGTGTACATGTATATTGATTTCTTAACAATTAAAATAATGACCCCCCCCCCGGGGGGGGGGGTGGGAAGAGGCCAAAATAAATTTTAAAAATCCGATTTTCAAATTGAAAAAAGTTTAAAATCTGCTCAAGAACTACTGGATGAGGGAAGCTGTAAAACTGTTCAAGAACTACTAGACGAGGGAGACTGAAACTGATATGGATGCATCCTGGGGTAGAGTAAATTCTAAATTGTTCAAAACATGACTACGGGATAGGACAGGGTCATAATATGGAATCAAAGTTCTATATTGAAATATATTTAAACACCTTCTCATGAACCACTGGGTCAGGAAGCCTCAATATAACTTGGAAGTATCCTGGGGTAATGTAGGTTCTAAACTGTTTTAAAGACCCTGGGGGGTTTTGCGGGGTCACAATAATATTTTTTACACAATCTTCCTCTAAAGAACCTCTGGTTAGTGTGGATATAGATTATTCAACTTATCCTCGGGGTAGGAAGAAAATCTTTAAAAAACCTCATGAACCACTGGGCCAATTAAGCTGAAACTTTCATTTTTACCATGTAGACTTACATGCCATTTTCTACTGTAAATTCGACACTTCTGGTTCGATGCGGATAAAAAGTTATTACCAGCACTAATTTGTGCACACGTATGAGAGAAAACAAGATTAAGAATCTCCTGAAAGCTACTGCAATCAGTGTTTGCTTTGTTAAAACTGTAACTCCATTTTATATGTGTGCACGCATTATAAAAGGCATTGGCGGAATATTTAATAAAAACCTTAAAATATAAGGATGCAAAAAGATAAAAAAAACTCCTTCAATATTTTTTTATTCTTTTGTTTTAGAAGAAGAAGAAAAAGAATTGTTCCTCTTGCAAATCTCAAAAATGGCATTTGGACCGGATTCCGGTGGGCGTTCTAGATTTGCAAAACTTGGAATGGCTATAAACGATGTATTAACTCAGACCTACAGAGATGTTTTAGAAATGGATGTTCCCTCTTCCCTTGTTTTCAATAAAGTGAAGTCGTCACCCATTTATAAAAGATTGCGTTCTGACCAGGAGCTTCTTTTAATTGATGCTAAAAATTCAGGGTACAAGAAATTTGACATTACACTCATGTATACTCTGCTGAGGAATATTTGTACGACGATTCTTCCTCCAACAAATGCTTGGGGAGGTAATGACATGCCTGCTTCATCAGAGATTACTATCGGAGATGACATTGAAAGAATAAGATTGATTCGGAATAGTGTTTTTGGACACGTATATTCGGCTTGTACTTCACAAAACACATTTGATGACAGTTGGTCAGTTATATCAGATGTGTGTCAAAGGCTTCAAAACTATACGGGTAAAAAGTACATGGATGGTCTTCAAAACATTGAAAGACAGGACCTGGAAGAAGAACACGAAGAAGCACTGGTTGAAAAACTAAGAGAAGATTATGAAAATAACAAAGAGCTCCGGGAATATGTGTCCACGCTTCTGTCAGATGTACAGGAAATAAAGGCAGGACTGAATTTTAACACAGAATATTGTCGTGAGTATACAACGTTTATTTTTCATATACTCTTACATAACGTTGCTTGTTTTTGCAAATGATCTGTAATTTTCCTCTAAATGTATATAAAGCATTTGTATTTATTAATCCAGATAGGTTTCAGGAGACCCAAATTAATAAGAGTTATTTCCCGTGAGCCATATCGGGAGTGAACATGCTCATATCCCTTCATTATTCAACCAAGTTTAACTTTTTAAACTTGCAATTGTGGGATGGGAAGCGTTGTTTTTCTTTAAAATATGCATTTGTTAGTGCCCCTTTATTTCATAAAGCCTATTCTATTAAGATATCCCCAAATATTTCTTGTACACCCTCTTATATTTGGTAGATCAAAGAGGGGAATTTATCAGGTTGACCCCAAATATGGCGGCCAACGGGAAATAACTCTTGTTAATTTGGGTCTGCTGAAAACTATTTTTTGTTACATATAGCCAACTAAACTAAAAAATAGTTCAGGAGATAAATGAACTAAAAGGGACTATCAGTAAAAATATGTTTAAAATAGGACATGTAGGAGAGGTCATAAAATTGATAAACGTTTACCTAATGCGGAATTTAGGAAACCAGAATTATGACAAGCTAATTCGGAGAATCTGTCCCCCCCCCTCCAAAAAAAAGAAGTTAAAAAGAAGAAAATGAGCTGACCTCTAAGCTAGTGTCAAGTGATATTGTTTGACTTTCATACGAGTGTGTTATGTACCGAAGAACAGTTACTACAGGAATAACTTTGGGGAAATTGCATTACGTTATTTTTTAGCTCACCTGAGCCGAAGGCTCAAGTGAGCTTTTCTGATCACATTTTGTCCGTCGTCCGTCTGTCCAGCTGTCCGTCCGTCCGTCTGTAAACTTTTCACATTTTCGACTTCTTCTCAAGAACCACTGGGCCAATTTTGACCAAACTTGATACAAAGCATCCTTGGGTAAAGGGGAATTTAAATTGTTAAAATGAAGGGACATATCCCCTCGCAAGGGGATATAATCAAGAAAAGACAAAAATAGGGTTGGGTCATTAAAAAATCTTCTTCTCAAGAACTACTGGGCCAGTAAAGCTGAAACTTATGTGGAAGCATCCTGGGGTAGTGTAGATTCTAAATTGTTCAAATCATGACCCCTGGGGGTAAGGCGGGCCACAATGGGGAATTAATGTTTTACATAGAAATATATAGGAAAAATCTTTGAAAATCTTCTTCTCAAGAACCACTGGACAAGAAAAGCTGAAACTTATGTGGAAGCATCCTGGGGTAGTGTAGATTCTAAATTGTTCAAATCATGACCCCTGGGGGTAGGGCGGGGCCACAATGGGGAATCAAAGTTTTACATAGAAATATATAGGAAAAATCTTTGAAAATCTTCTTCTCAAGAACCACTGAGTCAGAGAAGCTGAAACTTATTTGGAAGCATCCTGGGGTAGTGTAGATTCTAAATTGTTCAAATCATGACCCCTGGGGGTTGGGCGGGGGCACAATGGGGAATCAATGTTTTACATAGAAATATATAGAACAAATCTGAAAATCAAAGCTGCAATGTATTTGGAAGCATCCTGGGGTAGTGTAGATTTCAAATTGTTTAAATTATGATAAGTGGGAAGGTTGGGGTCACAATATGTATTACAAGGGGGGAATCTGATAAAGAACAGAATGGCCAATTCTTCTCATGTGAGCGATGTGGCCCATGGGCCTCTTGTTTAACATTTGAGTCTAAGTAAAAATTAGTTTCAGGCTTATATAGGCGCTCGGTAAACGATTCTCTAATTAAACTGTGTTCAAATAATTGTGCCTTGCTTCCATTCTCAGTAACCTGAGATTATTTAAAAATATTTTTAGAGCCAAGAAATATTGACACACAAGATGGTCTAAAAATCGAAATAGAAGGTGAGTTGCTTTTTTATTTTCCTATGCTCTTTGTACATATTTTCATGAAGTGATGAAATTCTAGCTCTTTAAGAGTAATTTACAAGTGAATCGAAAATGTAATATTCTACTTATAAGTTGTCACTAGGGAATTGTTCTATTTAACTTTTTTTTACCTTTTAAAGGGGCAGTGTCTTTACAGGAGGCAATGATTACCAATTGGAAAACGGAAAATAGAACATTTGTTCCAACTTTTGCAACAAAAGTGGTTGAAGAAAAACTCCAAAATCAAAATTTTGTCATTGTCGTAGGCAATTCCGGATCAGGAAAGACGGCCATGATTCAACATATTGCTTTGAAGTATCAGGAACAGGGCTGGGATATCGTTCCCATTGACGAAGTAAGAGAAATTAAAGAAATATGTTCAAATTCCCTCACTCAAAGACTTTTTATTATGAATGACCCTATTGGAAAAGAGAAATTGGATGAAATATCTAAACATTCATGGGAATGTCTTGAAAAAACCCTAGAAATTTGTTTGGAGAAATCAAAGATGCTAGTATCTTGTCGACGATGTGTGATAAAAGACGAAACATTACAAGGACTATTCAAAGAACAATCAAATATCGTAGAGATTGACAGTGGTAACAATGTTTTAACAGATGAAGAGAAGAAAAAAATAATCAAACAGTACGTAAAAGAAGAAGACCTTTCTAAAGATGCTATTGATGAAATTATTAAGACGGATTCTTATTTTCCTTTGCTTTGTAAACTCCTGTCTGTTGATAGACATTACCTCGGTGAGGCAATAAGTCTTTTCAAACATCCTTTTGAATTAGTTAAGAAAGAAATTGAAACATACAAATACAAAGGCAAGGAAAAATATTGTGCACTTGTTTTCCTGTCAATGTTCAACACCATTGACACTGAAAAAATAAGATATTCAGATGATTTCCGGAAAAGATTTAATGAAATTGTTGAAGCTTGTGATTTACCCTCAAATTTACAAATTACAAGTATAAAAAGAAATCTTAAGTTGCTGGAAGGTTCCTTTGTAAAGTGCGTTGGTAGCTCATTTTCCTTCATTCACGACTTCGTCATGGAAGTTACTACACTGATATTTGGAACAGATTTCCCAAAAGAGACAATAAAATATGCAAGTAGTGATTTTCTTCGGAAAAGAATGAAAATTCAAGAAAAAAAAACTAAAATACCTGATCCATTAACTATTTATCTACATCCATTGTATATTGGTGACCTTATAGAAAGATTTTTCCTTGATATTAATTCCGATTGCGTATTTGATTTTGTTCTTAATCCGTGCTTACGAAGTAAAATTGTAATCGAAAAATTCATCGAGAAGATGAAAAGTCTAGAAAATCTATCAATGTTCTACACTGAACAAACAATATCAATAGATAAATACATATACAGCGAGGACGCCATGGCTAGAAGTCGTTTGTCTAGAATCCGCTTTATTTCGTTAGAAGAAAGGATAACACCAATCAGCCTTCTTATTACATATTGTCATGATGAAATATCTACATTTTGTCTTAATAACACTAACAGTAAAACTTTACAAGATCAGTTCCTACTCCCTCATGTGTGTGCAAATGGTAGTTTAGAACTATTGAACACACTGAACGAAAAAAGTAGATCATTATGGATCAGTAAAAAATATGGCAAAAGTCATTACCCAATACACATAGCATCTGCTTTTCACAATGTAGACATTGTTGAGAGACTTCTTCGATTAGGCGCTGATCCAAACACCCTCACTACAGAAAATCGATGTAATCCGTTGATTTCGGCAGCTAATGATGACGCGCACAATTGTGAAGTTCATCGACACGCGGGCATGAAGCGTAACCAGACAATCGAATGTTTGATAAAGTATGGAACAAAAGTCAATTTATGTCGCAGAAATGGATACTCACCATTACACTTCTGTATCTTTAATAAGGTACCTCAGAACACAATTGAACTTTTAATCTCCAAAGGAGCTGACATCAATTTATGTTCTGATTCTGGAGAAAGTTTTCTTCACTCAGCTTGTTCAAATGGATATGACATAATGGTACAATTTTTACTAAATAAAGGCATCAACATAAATTTACGTGATACAGAGGGTAACAGTCCACTCTGGTATGCTTGTATGAATGGACATGAAAGCACAGTAAAATTGCTGTTGACTAATGGGGCCAAAATTAATCTACCAAACAATAAAGGTTACACTGCTTTAAGTTTAACTTGTGAGTGTAGACACACTAAGATAGTCAACATTTTACTGGACAGTGGCGCAGATATTAATGCGTGTAGTTCCAATGGAGAAAGTCCACTCTGGAGAGCCTGTTTCTTTGGTAATGAAAGTACTGTGAAATTATTGGTGCAAAATGACGCGAATATTAATTTATGTCGCAATGGTGGAATGAGTCCTTTGTTTGTATCTTGTGAAAAAGGATTTGAAAACAAAGTTAAGATATTACTAAACAGCGGTGCAGACGTAAATTTATTGGACAACAGACGTGCGACTCCAATTGCAAGAGCTTCATATGATGGTAGAAACAATATCATTCCACTACTACTCGACAAAGGAGCCGATGTTAATTTATGTTGTATGAATGGAGAAAGTCCTCTATTCTTTGCTTGTCAAAATGGACATGACAATACGGTTAAGCTTTTATTACAAAATGCTGCAGACGTCAATTTATGTAAACTTGGGAAATTCAGTCCTCTTTATATAGCATGTTACGAGGGAAATAATAGCATTGTTAAAATTTTATTGGAGAACGGTGTAGATATCAATGCATATGATAAATATGGATGCAGTCCTATCGTCAGAGCATGTAAAGAAGGAGATGAATCTGTAGTAAAAATGCTCATAGAGCACGGTGCTAATATTAATTTACGAGACAAAAATAGAAAAACAGCAATAGACAGTGCTCGTGATTTAAAACGTGAAGATATCGTTGATCTTATGCGTGAGACAACACTAAGAGAATAACCTTAATGAATAACATGATCAACGATAATTCTTTATCAGTTTGTTTTCCAGACTTTTCTGTCCGTTGATGAACATTTTTGTGTGAAGAGATTTTTTTCTGAGCCGAAATAATACCATACAAATGTAACTGCAATTTGATTTATTTTGGCTAACTTAAATAACTTACCAGTGTTACCGAAATCGGTTCTTTAAAAAGAGCAACGAAATGTGCAGTCTGTCACGAGCAACATGACACTGAGAAGATGTGTGTCCTTGTCCATGTCATAATAAAAGTTTGAGTCGGAGAACAAATTCACATTTATAATAAAAGTGATAACAAATTTCAAGAATTTTTTTTACATGTATATCATTTTTACAACATGTACATGTGTGTGGTATTTTATAATATTTCTTGTAAGATAAATGATAAAACAAATGTTGGATGGAAAATGATATTGGAATATATTATTTAGAACTTTTAAATGGAAAATAATATGCTAGACGCAAAAATTGCGCACTTGCATTAATTTTGTTACCAATTACCTCAAACTCAGAAGTACATTTTTTAGTAATTGTTGCAATGTGTATACCATTTTTGAAAATTCGAAAATACTTTTAACTATAAAATTTTGACAAAGCAAATGCTCCTGTATCATGCAAGAATTAATTGCATTTTATAGCTGTTCGTGCAGGAATAAAATGCAAATGATTAAAATTTTAGTATTCAGTTTGTGTCAGTCTGTCCTCACGACCGGTATGATAACAAGTATTGGCGTTTTTTTTTTTATAAGAATGACGTAGGTGTATATAAGCATGGATATTAGTTAACTATGCTAAGGAATACATACTTAAATATATGAAAGGGATCACCACAATATTATCACTTGGGAAAATAAATATATTACCATTAAATAATGTCGGTATCTTCTTGTTTTTATTTCTAAGTAACGATATGGTCTTCGTTAACAATTTTTTAGGGGTTTAGTCGAACGGGTCGGGGCGGAAATATGACGTAATTAATATGGTACATTCCTAAGTTTTGCGTAGAAATGCCTTAAAATGAATCATTTCTGCGACTCTTTTTCTTTAGAAAATAGTGTCCACAGCCGTTGCCCACTTTAAGTTTAGGATATATTGTTTAAAATGCTTAAAAAAAATCATATTTATAAAATTTTAGTGGGGGACACATGCGCTGTATGTTTTCTGATAGAACATTCTACTGAAAATTGATGTCTTCTTTCTGCAACTTTTAAGCTCACCTGAGCCGAACACAGCATTGTTAAGGCTTGAATAAGGGGGCGGGGCCTAATTTATATTGGAAAAGTTTACTTTAACGTAACACACAAATATGACTTTAATGTATTTCTCATTATACCCAAAAATGAAATAGTTTGCAACTTTTAACTGTGTTAGCATAATAAACAACAATAAAACTTATCGATGCATTTAAAAAACTTGCATGTTCAATACCATGTAGCTGGTTATAAACAAAGCACTGATCGCAATGAACTTGTAAACATGACGTCTTATTGTTAAAAATGACGTATTTCAGGTGCTGTAAGAGGCAGATTGAGGATTTTTTAACAATAAAAAATGCCTTTTTTATTAAACGGAATATTATAAACAGGTTTTTAATAGTTGATTAATACCAATGCATATCCTTTGTTTACTGCAATTATTAGTTAACTATTACGAGAATGCATTTTATTAATTATGTCGTGTTTTTATGTACAGGTTAGGTATATTTTACATCGAGATGCCTCATAAAATCGCACTTTGGTAAGGGCATACACTTAATAGATCTTAACCACTTTTTGAATATAGATAAAGGATATTTTTCTTAAATTGAAAAGTGGTGCTGCTTTCTTTAAATCGAGGGCATAATTTTATAAGTACACAAAATATTTGGTAAATTAAAATCAAACATATTTCTACATTGGTTTCTATTTAAAGCAGCAGTACTTTTCAGAAACTACAAAGTATGCAGAAACAAATAATAACTTGAATTTTTTATTTCAAATAGGGTTTGCCCTTGCGATATTGAAATTTGTTCATGACCTACATTCAGTACACAAACTATGCATTTTTTCACATGACTGTCCATCGATGGGACCAAACTTCATACAGTACAGAGTGGCTTATAATATGCTATTTCAATAAGTATTTGTGTTCTGTGATAATAAAACAGCTTAATTAAAATAAATTCAGGTTTAAAAAGGTCCCATTTTTGCTCGTCTATTTTCCGGTGATTTCTCATAGTAGGCCTTAACAATTCTGCGAAGGCTCAAGAGAGCTTTTCTGATCATATTTTGTCCTCCGTCCGTCCGTCTGTCTATCTGTTTGTCTAACTGTCTGTCTGTCTGTAAACTTTTCACATTTTCGTCCTTTTCTCAAGAACCACTGGACCAATTTTAAACAAACTTAGTAAAAAGCATCCTTGAATTAAGGGAAATTTAAATTATTAAATTGAAGGGCCATGTCCTCATACAAGATAAGATAATCAAGAAAAAAAATAGGGTGGGGTTATTTAAAAACATTCTTCTCAAGAACCACTAGACCAGAAAAGCTGAAAAGTATGTTGAAGAATCCTTGAGAGGTGTAGAATGCAATTTATTCAAATCATGATCCCCGGGGATAGGACGGGGCCACAATGGGGATTCAAAATTTAACATAGAAATATATTGGAAAAATCTTTAAAAAATCTTCTGATGAAGAACCGCTGGGCCAGAAAAGCCGAAACTTATCTTGCAGAGTCCTGGGGTAGTGCAGATTTCAAATTATTTAAATCATCATCCCCTAGGGTAGGGCGGGGGCAAATGGGGATTCAGGGTTTAACAAAGAAATATATAGGAAAACTCTTTTTAAATTCTCTCTCTCTCTCTCTCTCTCTCTCTCTCTCTCTCTCACCATTAGGCCAGAACAGCTGAAACTTATGTGGAAGCATCCTGGGGTAGTGTCGATTCTAAATTGTTCAAATCATGACCAGCGGGGGTTGGGATGGGTTTTACATGTATATAAGTCTAGGAAAAAGCTTTAAAAATCTTCTTGGCTAGGAAAGCTGAAACTTATGTGGAAGCATCCTTGGGTAATGAAGATTTTAAATTGTCCAAATACGTGGGGTACAATAGGTTCAGAATAGGCATTACACGGGGGGGAAATGGTTACGAAAAACATGGTCAAAGGTTCTCAGGTCAGCCCATTGGCCTCTTATACGGCAAAATACACAAGTCCATGACGTCACAATCAGCATTGTGTAGTTCAATGCGAAAACACGATTTGTAGGTCTTTTTCTGCATGGAGTTTCGAAAAGGGATTGATGTTTATTTCTTACATTTACTTTTACCTTGAAAACGTATTTTCTTTTTTAATTTCTTGGAAAAAATAAACTTTTTCAAATATCGCTTAAGTCAACAAATATCGTAAATACAAGTATACGCATCTCGTAGAATTTGTTCTTGACCATCTTAACGTTGACGATAAGCGCTATGAAACGAAAGTAACAGACTGGTGACACTCTTGATTGCTCTGGTTTGTTCAATGACGGGTTAGAATAATGGATGCAAAAATATGAATAGAATAGTATTCAGGCAGGAGTTTGAGGTGCATTTTTCTTGCCTCTAAGTATGGCATGGCGACCAGAGACTGAAACAGACAAGTGATCTAATGAATAAACCAAAGTCAAATCGGATGATTGTTCAAAATGTGAATGGTCGACCGCGTAGTCCAGTGGTTTTGAAGTCTGCTTTAAAGTCGCAGTTTAAAGAGTCAAACCGTACGTCGTAGGTTCGAATCCCACTGTGGGACGTGGAGACCGGTCTTTCGGATGAGACCGTAAAGACCAAGGTCCCATGTCTGCACGAGTATTGGAAAAAAAATTGTAGCTCTAATACCACAAGTGGTGGCATCACCATATGTGTGAAAAATTCTCGAGAGGGGCGTAAAACAAACAAAAATGTGAATGTAGGCATGTAACAATACGATCTTTGCTTGCTGATATAATTGATATAATCATATAAAAGCGCCAACACATTAATACAATTTTATGTCTCATAAAATGATTTATATACAATCTTTTTTACATTGTTTTTGACAAATTTAGATTAAAATTGCAGTTGTTGTTGATTTTTTATGTAAAAAGAGTGTGGTCGACTGGATCGGGATC